AATCAAAATAATATCCACTTCCAGTCACTTCAAATACAAATTTTATCATTTCCTAATAGAACACGTTATCAATAATAGCAAGAGCAAGCAATTCTCGTCAGATTGTTGTATGCCCATAGAACTAAACAAGAAATACAGTATTATTTCATGAAAATGTCAATATCATAACAAAAAAATCGTTGATCTTACGAGGCACTTCAAACAGCGCAGCAACGCTGATTCAAAATATGGCGCCAATACCGGATGTTGTGTTGTCATCGACATTAAAATTAGCCTAATCAAAATGTGGTACTCACTGTTCTCCGACACTACGTCGCTGAAAGTTGTAAAATAATCTTCAGACATTCTGGCGCAGCTGCCTGAGAGACGTGCTGCAAAATCCGGATCAGCGAACAGGTGCAGTTGCTTTCAACTTCTCCCGCGGAAAATACCAAGAGCGATTTCCTGACAGTAACAGGGATAACTTCTAACTCAGTTCTCGAGTCCAAGACGCGATGCGTGCGCGAAGCCACACGCAATCGAGGGAATGACAAACGAAGGTCTCGCAACTTCGACTGCAGCGCGCGCGCCGCTTCCGACCGACCGCTCGCCAGTCGCTCGCCCGGCGGTCTGCGAGCCGCGCGCCCTCTCCCGGGAATGCTCGGAGTCTGGTCCGGCGCACAGGTCCATTCAATCTCACGCTCCCTCCATATTGATCGCCTCGCCTCGCGCCGCGCCGCTATGGTCGCGCTCTCGAAGCTCGCGGGGCGGCGGGAGCAGGTGCCGCAAACGTCACCGCTACCTATCGGCGCACTGGCGCAACACGTGCCTCGAGACGCGGGAGAGTTCGAATGACCGTAGCAAAAAGGATACGTGTTCATGAAATGAGTTGTTCGAGGAACGCAGTTGTAAAGTTCTGAAGGTTCTGTGAAAAATGTGCGTTGTCCTTTTTTCAAAGGTATTGGGGGCGGCTCTACTGCACCCAAACTTAGTATTAGAGCCTGAGCTTAGAGCTCAGAAATTAGATTCACATTGGCAGGTGAATATTGTCCTTGGCGAGCGTCAGATAAAGGTGCAAGTGGAACACAGAATTTTATTTTTCCCGCATCTCAAAATATCCGTTTTGGCGTTTACGCATTTCTTCCCAGAGTCTCTCAAATAATTTTTTTCTTAACAATTCTTTACGGCAATGTTGGTCACAACAGCTTGTTATCGTTAAAAACTATCAGTAGATGGGAAATTTTCAGATATTTCAGGATTGAATGAAGGAAAGCCTCAGATTTTTAAAGCATAATCACTTTGATTGCTTGGTTATGTCATATTTACGGGCCCATAACCTGCTAAGTCCACTAGTCCCGTAAGTAAAGTGAATGTTTTCATCACACGAGGAGGCGCTGGTGGGGGAGATCTGGCGCCGACCTACACACCGGCTTGGAGGCTTTGCTCCAAACAGGTCTCTCCCACCAGTGACATCACTGACAAAGAAACCAATGGAGCTAGAATGTCACATACTTCCACGCATTAATTGACAAGACTTTGCAATATTATACAATACTTGACATTTCTCCTTGCTAAGGAACAACTGATTTTGTTGCAACTGATTACGCAACGGAGCATACCCGACAGCCGACAAATAACAGTCAAATGAAATGCAGAGAGCTTAGTAGAGCATGACCTGTTATAGGAATAAAAGGCAGTGTATGCGAAAGATCTTTATTGGAGAATGTTAATGCGAAAGAACATAATTGGAGTGCTTATGATCGTGGCCGAGCAGTTGGACGGCTGGAAGCAGGTCAAATTGTCATTACTGCGTCAAACTGCGCCATGTCGCGATGAATAAAGCTGAAGATGGAAATGCAGGGCAAAAGCACATCGGTAATCGTGGAATGAAAACCGCTCCTCAAGGGGATCGATTTGCATTCCTAGTGGCGAAACGGAAAAGAAATCTCACTCGCAGTCAGATAGCTGCAGACCTTGAAACCGCTGCCGGTACCCTTTTATCTACCAGAATCATTTCTCGGCGATTAAATAAGATTGAATTGTATGCACTGCGGCCTCTCCAATGCAACTCACCTCAAACGCCGCGCTAAAGTCGAGAAAGATATTATATTATATTATATTCGTTAGTCCGAGTCATATCAGAGTTGCGGTAGGCCCAGACTTTCTGTTTATGGACGACAATGCGCGCCCACATATGACCGCTGATGTATCGGATACAATAGAAAGTGAAAATATAGAATGTATGCAATGGTCTGCTTACTCTGCAGATCTATATCCTAAAGAGCCTGGAATGCCCATGGGAGATGTGTTTCTCGGAGAACTCGCTCTCTCTGAACCACGGAGGAGCTGGAAAACGCCTTGAGAGAGGAGTGGGACCATATCCCCCAAGAATTCCTAAATAGTTTAGTAGACCGCATGAATTGACGTCAGACTGAGGTTTTGCCGTCAATTGATTTTTAGGAATCAAGGACCCACCAATCATGGACTCGCCACGTGTTAGAGGATTTTTTTTCTATATTTAGAAACTGGACTTATACACTTTTTCCGTACCAGGGCCCGGAATAAGAGTTTTTATGTCGAAAATTGCATCAGAAAATATTTTACTTTTAACTTAAATTTGTGTACCGACTTTTGTTTAATGTCATCTGCTAATGCGTGGTAAAGTAAGTTTCTGGTAGGGAGCTGTTGATACTGACACTTGATTAACGTGATTTCTTCAACTTGTGTTGTAATTATAAATATCAGACTAGCATGAAAATATTTTCCCACCGTTAAGTCAGTCAGTTTTGACAAATATAACATATTCATTAATAAAGAGGCAAGGCAATGATAAGATTCCAAGCTCAATGAAGAGAGGCTTGCAGGGATCACGCATATGGCATTTTTTCATTATTCGAATAATTTTCTTTTGCAATCTAAAGGTTTGATGATGAGCTTCCCCAAAATATTATGCCACATCTCTGGCGGGAACGCACGTTTGGAAAATACACGCGAGCTGCATGAAGGCTGACAGAATTTGAAAGAATTCTGAATCCGTAACATAATGAACTTAAATTAGTGTTTAATTCTGTTATATGTACATTCCATTTGAGATTTGACTGACTTGAGAGTCCTAGAAATTTTGTTACCTTGACATCAGCTATTGTATATTGTTCATATTCAATGGAGCATGTAATTGCTGATTTGAAGTGCTAAACTGTATTGAAACTGTTTTTTTCCTTTGTTGACTATTAATTTATCATAAAATTAATTTTAAACTTCTGAACTATTTCTTTTTTTTCCCTTTTGCAAAGAACATTTGTGTCATTGGCAACAGAACCGTTCTTCCGTTTTTAATTAATAAACGAGGGCATATGTTCACATATAACAGAAAGAGGATAGGAACTAAGATCGAACCATGCGGAACCCCTTATTCAATTGGTAAGAATTGGAAAGATAAGTAAATAATGTCCTTTTGTGCCAGTACGGTATTTCTACTCTGAGATCAATGTTTAAGGTACGAGGTTATCCAATCTAGGGCGATACCACGAATCCCATGAGAAGGTAATTTCAATAGCAGTATGAAGAAACGGGCATATGGCTTTTAATACATTTTTAAAACAAATAGGTTATCTTCCACTTATTTTAAGGCATTTTTAGGTCATCAGAACCCAATCCCTAGTTATAACCAATCAAAATCATACATCATCTGATTATTTATTTCTCTAATTTTGATTCAGTGCTTCATTCTCAGCCAGTCACATAATAGAATATTTTTAAAAATTCACATAGGCTCACAGGCCATAATGCATATGTCAGGGAAAGGTTAGTGTTGAGATGCCCTTCTGAGATGTACTATTTTACAGGCAAGTCATTCTTTAATTGTATGCATTTGTCAATTCCAAAATTAAATCTGAATATTGTAAATTTTTAAAATCAATGAATGATCTTTCCAATACGAGAATCAATATTTTCATATCTTTCCCATTCATATCATTTCGTGCATCTTGAGTGCCAAGGATTGCACTTACCACAACTGTATAAAATGAAATTGAGTATGAGTATGGAAATTAAATTTTCCTGAAAAATAAAGCATTATTCAACATGCACTATTCAAAACCATAGGATTGTAATAATGAACATTCAGTTAATTGAGCAAGAGCCCACTATGGGATTTTTCAGACTTCAAGACTAGTGGGGATACAACACATTCTTTCTTACATTATTTGTAACAGTTAATACATATTATACTACTATTTGAACCAGCTAAAATGTTGGCCGCGCAGGGATTTCAACACATGTATTTAGGTTTAGCAAGCTCAGCATATCTACGAGACACCACCCAGAACAGCTAACAACTACCCAGCGCTTTCAAAAGAAAATCAAACAGGCGCAACTGATATTTTTAAAACATGTTTCAAGACCTTATTTTGAAGAACAGATTTCATTAAGTATAAAATCTCTATTTTTTTAAACACAATTGTGGAAAGCCACCGAAAAGATTTAAAACTTAAGCAATTTTAGAAAATTCAGAAAGCCTACTTTGCTCTAAACAAGAAAAAAAGATCCAAAAATTTGGAAATGTTTATAAGAAAATTTTGAAAATGTCATTGAGACTTCTTGTAAAACAGCTGCAAACTCAAAACATGCATTTCAAATTCACAGTCCCTTGAATGCAAACAGATTGACTAAGAAATACCAATTTTGGAAAAAATCCTAAGAATGATTTAAGAGCTAATGTTGTCCATGGATGGACAGACACCCAAAGTTATACCATAAACCAATTTTTAGGTATCAAGGACCAACCCCAAAGATTCTGACATCACATTAGAGTAATTTATGATGCATCAAGAGAAACTAATATACTATACAACAATTCTCAATTTATTTAGGATCAGGTACCCACATTTCTGTTTCAGGTTCTGTGAAAAAACACATTTTGCTGTACATATTATGTAAGAAAGTAAAATTCAGAAAAAAATAATAAACTTTAAAGAAATGAATAAATAGATGACAATTAGTTCACCACGAAATGTTTAAGATTTAATTTTGGGGACTCCTATTTTGTTGGGATTCCAATAACATTTACAGGTAAAAGCAATACAAACTTAATATAAAATTTCCAATGGTTAATTAGGAAACATACTTTTTATTTCACAGAGTTTGTGTATCTCTAAGGGTTCTCATAGTACAAATTAGTTGCACAATTTCATGTTCATATACACAATATTGATAAAACTTTCTTCTGGCATCATGCAAAGATTTTGTTCACTATGATGACATTTCCCAAATTCACATTGTTATAACTACAAAGTCTTATTCACAAATTCATTCACATTCTGTAACATTCAAATCCTCCTTTTATGTACTCTACAGCATACATACAAAATTACAGGCTTTTAATAAATTATAAGTAGATTATTACTATTTAAGATCAAAGATGTTCAGAAATGTCTGAATTGATAATGACTTGAAAAAGCTCCACCAAAGTTTGCACAATACAGGTACATTTGAATCTTCCATCAAACTAATTGCCCACTTCTTTTTCACTCAAGAGCTCCAAATACTATAGCTATAGGTTCGTCCCAGTCTTTTCCTGACACACTGCTTATCATACTAAAATTTCAGAAATCTAGTTTTCACACAATATTTAAAGAATAGTGATTTATTCTTTGATGAATGAACAGCTAAAAGAAAAATTAAAATACTATGCCATCAAGAGAGTCACTTTAGTCACCATCAGTCTGTTGTTCTCAAAATAATTTCCAACAGCGCTACAGTTATCTATATTACTTACTTTCGTACAGCCATCCGATTTTCACACAATTGATTAACTTTCAGAAATAATACTATTGCTAACATTCTTATAATTTACTAAACATTTTACACTTTTTTATAGTTTCCAAGAGCACATTCACTCTACAATTTTTGAATTATTAACAGTTACACTGGAATGGCTATATGAATTTTCCAGTATCATGTGATGAGAAATCAAAAATTTAATTTGTTATCAAGCCAGCTTCTATACTTGAACAAATAGAATGAATGAAATATTAACTAGACTTCGACGGTATATTACAGATTTGAGTGATTTGCTCTTCCCAATGAATTCACTGAGTATAAGTACCTCTTAAAAAATTCAATCACATCAAATTTACCAACTTTGAACTTATAGTACTACATCTTAAGCAAAATGTGATGCACTTTAAAACTTTTACTAAAGTTTTGACATTAGAGAAACGTAGTAATAAGCAGAATATTATTACATTTTTTCTCCAAGTTACAATACATTTCTCATGTACAAAAATTGCACCTCACATAAAAAATTATAATTTACAAATATATTTATATATTTACACACATACATACAAAACATTATGTACAATATGAAATATATCATACATATAATACCCTTGCTCTTAAAATAGCATTGGTTTTTAGTATGTATGAAAAGATCATTTTCATAAAACAAAAGAACTTGAAATACTATATAACAGTATTTTCAGTCTTTAACACAAGATCCCAACTACTTCCATACCTTAATTACTCCATCACGCGACCCTGACAACAAGAAACATTGCGAGGCTTGGCACATGGTGAGAGCACTGATCCAATCATGATGGCCTGGTTGTGGCTGCTCAGGGCCTGGTCGAGGTGTCTCTTCTCTTTGAGAACTCATCCCACTTTGACTAGAACGTGGCTTAGCAGCAATTTCTTGAATTACATTTGTACCATCTATTAACCGAGACCTAAAAAATAAAAGGACAATGAATTGAATTGCCAACATCGATTATAACACTTTCTTGTTCATAAACAATCATTGCAATATAAAAAAAATCACACCTTGAATCTTAAAAAGAAATAAATTAATTTTGTAATGTTCGTCTAGAACAAATATTCAATACTGTGGGAAGGAGGAGAGTGAAGGGAAATTAACAAAACACAAAAAAAGAACATATCAAAAAATTTAAATATCATGATTCAAATTATTAAAATTTTACTAATGTACATCTGTTGTCCCTTTCCTCCCCCCTAAAATCATCAGCATTCACCACTTAATTTCACCTTCATTATTCTCATTTCTAGCCCCCACCTCTTTTTAAATCAATAGTTAATAAATAGAAATATTTTCGTACGTTTGTTCTCAACCTTCATTCATGCATGCTGGTGGCAAATTGCCATCCTTGAATAATGACATGAGTGTTATTAGATTTATTGGCTAAGACTGTAAATGCTACACGCTGATTAATTTTTTTTTACGCATTGGTTTGACAGATAACAATTGTTTTGGATTTTTCCCAACTTTTCTTCCATTTCGGTTCACTTTTTAAGTTGACAAGATGCATATAGACAGCAGATTGCAGCCACGAGAATAGAAGCAAGAACTCTTTTTTTCTTCAGAGAAATTGAAAAATAAATTATTCCCAGAGGCACACCCACGAGTTCCAAGGGAGCCTGAAGCCCCAGGAGCACCCCCCCCTTCCCCCTATCGCTGCATGCCCCACTGATTATTCCAATAATCTCAGGTAGTATTTCAGATGTAATTGAGAAATAGAGCCCAGATAATTCAAAATAGCAGTTGGATATCATTTTTCCTTCAGATTTGTCATTTTCCTTTGTGTTAGGCAAGTTCATGACAATACATCCTCTATTCCTAAGTTGCCAACTTTTTTTTGAACTTAAAAGTACATATTTCTACAAAAACCAAATCTGATCTGACGATTCTAAAAGCAAAAATCATTTCCTATTTCAAAAGTGATGGTTCTGCAAGTAAATTAATGCAAAAATCATTTCCTATTTCTGATGACATCCCTTAAACTTGTCATAGAAACTAGAGCACAATGTCATGCAACAAGAAACTAGCACTCATTTGAGAAATTCTCACTAACGTTTTTCGAAAGGCAGAAAGTCTTACATTCTAGGATAATTCACAACTATTGATGAAATTAAAATTTCTTTGTACTATTTTCAAATTGTCTACTCTTGATTTTTTGGGGGAAGATGTCAATTCTACTTGTTGTAAGTCAAACAATTCACAGACAAAAATGAACTAAAAGTGTAAGGTGGCAGAATGTAAAGGCCCAAGCAGCTAGTAAAAAAAGAAAACTCAAATTGCCTACTCATCACAATCATAATAGATACTAGAAGCATTGTCCCATCCACTTGTTTACCAGTGATCAGGGTTACCAATGATCAACATGAAAGGAATTTTTAACAGGAGGCCCTTATTCAGCTTGGTACAGAGACTTTTCGGGTGCATGCTATCTTTAGTAGCAAGAAGATAAGAACAAATGTGGTAAATATATTATACTTACTTATAAGCAACAGATGAAGGTGCTAGAGAATCATTAGCTGCAGGTACAGCAAAATAAGATTCACTGGGAGAATATAAATCCCAGAATCGGATTCTCATATCACTTCCACCAGCAAACACAAATGGAGAACGATCAACACTTCCTCCATACATTGCACATACACTGTGAGCATTAACCTAAAACATTACATGAACAAAATAAAAATTAGGACAAAAATTAACATTTTAACAAAAGATATGAAATAATTTATCATAACTGTCTTTTAGACAGAGCATGCAGAGAAGGGTACTGGATCACATTTTCATTGAACATTGAATTTAACCAATTAACTGACTTTGGAGCTAAGGATGTCTATGTAACAATTTAGTCAAATTTAATTTAAAATAAGTTTAGATGCAACAATTAGCGTAAGTGGTCTACATTCCATTTCTGCCCGAAGTAACTTGAATCTGAAAATACCAGCGTAAAACTAATATAGGTTTGATTTGGAGACAATTATAACTAGTTTAAGTAACACCGCACTGTTTTATTGGCCAGTCTGTTATTGAATATACAATATTAACTACCATTTTCAGCTACTTTCAGTGTCAAAGTCACTAAATGTATAATAATAAAATGTACATATAATTTAAAACTTGTTTTACTGCTTCTTCAGTTCTAGTAGTAAACTGACAACTCCAGGCCAACCAACTATCTTGTTTTAATTGATTTAAGTTGAAATATAATCATTTGTCTCTTATGCGACAGAAAGAATTCCATAAAAGACCAGAGCAGTCAGGATGGTCAAAAACATTGAGAAATGAAATTTCCTGAAATTTCTCTAACAAAATATAGCATTTTCTCCCACATAATTTTTTAATGTAACAACAGATTCTAATTGAACAAATTCATAGTATACAAATTTCGAATTTGGAAAGTGCAATGCATTTATAATTGTAAAAGTGACTAATATTTTTAAGGATTATAAAAGCAATAGGCAACGGTTGAAGCAAGCCAATTTATAGGTCATTAAAATAGTATATAGTAATCACTCAACATTCACAGAAGTTATGTTACCTAAAACATCATGAATGCTGAGTCTATCTTCTATTAAAGAAAGGTGACTTAGGTTTATGGTTATCAGAAAAACAGAAAGAAAAAATTATTTGATTATTGCAGTAATACTCAGTAAGTATGCACTACAACGAACAGAATTCACCATCCCAGAGAAGAAATAAAGCACAATATTTTAAAATTATTTCAAATTTGGAAGTGATAGGAATTATAGGTATATGAAATATAGTATTTGATTATTTTTGTTTGTTTAATGAACCTCTTCATTGCCTTAATCTCCAAATATGAAAGAGTTGCTGCTTCTATTTCTCCTAAATTTTGAAGTTACTTCTATGGTTTGATGCATTTGAATATCTTTTCCATCAGAGCTTGTTGAAGTTTTATAAAGCCATTAACATTTTTGTCATTGAAATTGCTCAAGGACGCAGTTTTGTTTCCATTACTTCTTCACTGCCACATCTGAGGATATTTTCTTTAGTGATCATTTTTGAAGCACCTCTTCAGTGAGATCATGATCATGAAAGTTGCATAGATCTAGAAAGGCTTTCCTGTTAATGTCGTCAAAGCAGTTACCTTCAATTTGACATAACTGAATTGAATCACTTTGCAATTGAGTTATTCTATTAATCTGAACTGACCTTCCAACTTGCTTTACTTTGAATTACTTTTTGCAAACATGATTGGTGGTGGTGATGATAATGAAATGAGCTCATTTCAAGAAAAATGTCTATAACCAAATGACATTAAAAAAAGTTGAAGTCCAGTTGAAAGTTAAAACCAAGTAAAATCTATCTAATCATGGATGCTTGAAATTCATGTATGATGGAGAATTACTGTACAACATAGTATATTTATGATCGTGGAAACAAGAATATAGAAAATGATTAAACATTATCTGAATAAATCCTTACAGAATTGAAAGCAATACAATTCTGCATGCTTTTTTTTTTCTTTTCAATTTTACCTTTTATTCATGTTTCCCTTCACAACTGGTAAAATTTCCATGCCTATATCTGGCAATAATTAATTCCTGACTTTACCAGACTCATGGCTATTTTGACTGACCTGAGTATGTGATAAAGGAGGGGCCGTACTGGCCCATAAGACACTCTGACGAAACTGTGTTTCCAAGTTCCACATGGAAATTTCATTGTTGCCTTGTACTGCAGAGAGAACCCAAGATGGTTCAGTGGGATGTCTAATTAATTGACGAACACGAGCACCTACAAAAACATTCATACATGTGTGAAAAAGGAGAAAATAATGAGCAATAAAATAGAACAAAATGAACTAATGATAAAAAGAGTAATTAGCTTTTTATTAAAAATTCAATGTCAATCAAACAGTTCATCTCTTTTAAAATTTATTTTTACAGTTCTGAAAACTATATTACCTGTAGGATGAACAATGGAAGAAATTGGCAACTGAAATCTCAAATCCCAACATATGTGGCATCCACTACTTGTGCCTAATGTGAGCCAGCTTTGATGAGAATCCAAGCAAAATGAAGTAATTACACCTGAAATATAGTTAATATAATCACCATAATATAATTACATCTGAAATATAATTTAGAAATAAACTGTCACAAAAATTTTTTATGTTTCAAATGAAACATTTGAGAGCAAACAAGAATTCAACAAAAAGTGAAAGCACCACAATTTTTCTTACCATTCTTCAAATCATTGTCTAATTTCCAAGCTGTTCCAGGAGAGCGTAAATCCCAACCCACAATGGAACCATACATAGTTGCATATACAATCACTGATTGAGAACCTGTGCAAATTGTAACAGTCAATAAATTTTAATAAAATAAATGAATTTTGGGCAATAAAAAGTAAATCTCCCTATATAAATTAAACCACCATACACTCCCTACTTATTTCATATCATTAAAAAAATAAGTGATAAGATTTTACCACAATCAAAATAATTTATGTCAACAGCACATCCATCTTCTTGAAGATCTAATTGTCTGGATTGCAATACAACCATTTTATTACTATTCACTTCAATTCTGCAGAGAAAAAACATTTATAAGAAATCATTCCTTGCATTACATTCAGTAAGTATAGTAAGAAGTACATCCCTGATAAGGAATATGAAATACCTTAAAACAAAAATGCAGCCATTCAAGGATGCAGCTGCCAAAGATTGATTGCTATCACACACTGTTAGGCCAATTAAGGGGCCAGATTGGTGGTTATGTACTTGTCTTGATCGGTTTGCAATATTTCTTCCTTCCATTTTACCACAATCCCAAATTTTGATACATCCATCTGAAGAACAGCTGGCAAATAAGGCACTTTCTGGGATTGAAACTAATCTGAAATAAATGGAAGGTAAATATTCTACAATGCTGAATTTTACAAGGTTATTAAGTTAGTAAATTTTCATATTTGAGGTGAAACGCCACACAAAACTTCAGAAATGATTTTTAAAAATTTATAAAACTTACTGGTAGTTTTCTGGGAGAAAGTAAACTTAACTTTTAATCAGATTATCAAATTACCAATGTTGGACTATAATTGTATGGAATATTACAACATTAAATTGTTCAAAAGCAATTACGGTATTTTCCATATATGGAACCAACAAATTATGTGAGATTGGGGGTATAACAGTTAGCATCTAGGGATGTTTTACTCAAGTTTGCGGGGTTCAAACTCAATCAAAATTGTGGATTTTTAAAGGCAATAAAAATCCTTCACACACCTTCCTTTCGAGAGGAAATAAAGCTAGCTGTCCCATGTAGTACATTTACTGCATGTAAAAGATTCTGAAGCCAAAAACAAGCCTCTGAGCTAAATTCAAAATTGTCAGTTTGGCCCCGAGTAACACTTTCTTTCTCTACTAAGATGGTGAAAGGAGTATAGCGAACTTTGCGTGGTCAGACTTAAGAGAGGCCCTGATGGCAAAAGTCTCATTGAGTAAAGTAAGGCATTAACTAACTAACAACATACCTGTTAACAGATCCCTTGTGTTCATGCAAATGAGCCACAAGAGAACCTCGCAGCCTCCACCCTGGAGGAGGGATAGGAGTCTCCCATACAGCATTGTCAGGCCACTCAGGCCCCCTCACAGCATTGCTATACATCTCTTGCTTTCGCAATAACAATTTTCGCAGCTCCAAGCGACAAGGAGCGCATCGATCTGCAAAAAAACACTTTAATCAAAATCACCAAAGTAATGACAGAAATAATATTTTTGCAACTCAAGAAGAACCTTGAATTGAACATCAATAAAAAAGGACAAAGGGAGAGCCATCAGGTGTGCAAACCACTACAATACACTCCATATAATATTATTAATGAATAATTTATTTACAAAATTTTCCCAAGTGGCACAAATACACACAGAAGATGTTTTATTAATTTTTGTCACTACCTCTTCCTAGGTGACTATTCAGAGCACTAGAGCAAGGCAAAGCCATGCCTATCACACTGTCACAGAGCACTCATTATTCACACATGGATTCCATTAATTCACAAATGTGCATTTCTCATTGCCTACATCCAAACAAAATAGTTTTTACTTTCTCATAAACGTACATATATACATTATCTACACAAAGTTAAGTAATGCTGCACAAAATCAGAGAGATTTTAAGATTTTAATGGAAATACATGTATTGAGGTTCCCTGACATAGAGAAAGTTCCATTCGTCTGTAATATGTAATGACCTTGTTAAGGCCTTTGAATGGTTCCACTGCTCACATGGCTGGGATATTACAAAACATGACACTATATTCCAACTCTTCATGGCTTACTCAAATGCATAGGTACTTTTAAGAATTCAAAACATTAACTGACTTACACTGGATGTAAGACCGTTCATGAAGGCTGTGATCTGCATCGAGGCTGTACTGAGGAGAGGTGTGAACGTCACTGAGGAGACTCCCACCGGGTGGGGATCTGTCAATCGATAAAAAGTGCATTTATTCACTTAAATGATGAAAAATTTCACTTTTATTTCAGACAATTGGCACACATCAAAAGCACAATCATTTACAAAAAGCTCAAAAATATTTTACCACAAAAACAAACAAAAACATTAAGTAAAAAAGTATTTTAAATAACTCAAACTCGTGCAAACTTTTATTAACAACATGCACGCACACACACACAAAACATCCATGTACACTCACATACTACTCCCATCTGAAAGATGGGAGGGACTCTGAATGTCTGAAGACCCAAACATTGTCTGCCAATCTTCATTCACTGACATATGAGGGTCACACGAAGGACCTTTCTTAATGTTTTTCTTTCTGTACAGTAAAGAACTAAGGTTTATTCTTTTTACAATAATGGAATAGTCTGATTGATTCAACCATCTACAGAAAGAACTTACCGATTTGGAAGAATAAGTTCAGGCTTGTTTCCAGATCCAGCATTCAAAGAAATGGAGAAGTGTTGTGGTGTATTTCTCAACATCCGTAATTCAATCTACAGAGATTAAAAAATTAATGAATAAAAAAAATTAATGAAAATCATTTATTCTAACATTAAAATACAGAACAAATTAAATAGAACAAAAAATTAAAATATTACTTTTCCATCTGATATTCTGTTTTCTCCCATCTTTGCTTCTATACTACTTCGATGGCGATGGATTTTTTGTAAATGTGGAGCCATGGCAAGGAGTTGATCTTCAACAGTATCATCCATACCTTCTGAAGACAGGCGTCGAAATAACTGCAAAAACATGAAGGTTGTATTTTATAAGACACATACTGAACACTTCAATTGAATTATAGTAACACTTGTCTTACATTTCTTAAAGACACTGGTGGTTCTATATATTGAGGAATGTGTCCAGCACGCACAAGACTTCGTGCCTTCTGACGATCTTCCAATGTTTGCAGAAGCAAATTTATATCTTGACATTTGATCATACTGTCATATACAATTCTTGGAACAGGAGGAACAAGGGCATTTAATAGGATGACCTGTAAAATTTTTCATTAGCCACTTTAGCCACACCCAGAATTCACAGACACCTTTCATCAAAACAATCATAAGTAAAGTTGGGAAGTTAAAGCAATTGCATGTATCTATAAAAAAAATAATATTTGTTTCGTGGAAAAATATCAAATCTGGGAAAGAAAACTTTTCACTAATTTATGTTCCTTAATGTTTAGATACACTGAATAGTAGTTAAATAATATCATGATATAATGCATAGTAGTATCACATTTACGGAGAATAGTCATTTTTATACACATTTTTGTAAAATTTTGTAAAACAAATTAAAGGAGGTAACTCCTTAATCAAAATTTGCCTTTTAGCTGGTTTCTCTGATTTCGCATGCATATTGTGGTGGAAAAGAATTCCATACAGCTCTAATAACAGGGAACTTTCATAACAATTTATCTTACCTCTTTGTCTGCCTGAATAACTTGATACTTCAAATATGGTCTTATAACAGACATAACTTTACATTGCACATCTACCAGGTTGAGAATTCGTGACATGGCACTGATGAACCCAACAATAGCCTAAAACATTATTACAGCTAAAAATTTCCATTACACAAGTCTCTTCACCAGAAATAAATGTATCATATTCTGAAGATAATATTTTTACCTGATAAAGTTGGATGTATCTCTAACAAAATTCATTACCTTTCTTAAAAATTATAAATAGTAATCACCAAACACAATACATATGAAGCAATGGGAAAATATATAGAACTATTTAAATTTGTAATCGAATGTGTGTTTTCATTAGCTTTACATTTCATTCATGTACATTTCATATTTGACAGACACAAAATTCTAATAACAAAGAACCTTCTCTTTACAACACAATCTTCTTATCACCACATTTTAAAATGTTTTATCTACATTATATTATCGTCACAACAAAATCCACAAAATCTTACCTGGTGAACCCAGAGATTTGGATGAACAAGGAAACATGCAGTTTCTGCAAGTAGTTCATAAAGAGCACTCTTTTGAAGTAGTCCTAATTCTGTTAATGCAGTCATTGCATTTATTGCTTTCGTCATAACGAACTCCTCTGGATCAGTTAATCCCTGAAAAATGAATTCTGCAATGAACTATTCCTTAAAGTGATTTTTTTCAATTAAGTATCATATAAAAAGAGATGAGAGAAGAGAGGAAAAAAGAGAGGAAGGAAGGAGGGAGAAAGAGGGAGAAGAAAGGTAATAATGTATTAATAATAATATTTTATTGAGTCACACATACAATTACAATCATGTATGAGGAGTCAATATGATGTCTTGGGTGGAGGGAGTGAAGTAACATTTCTGTCCAGAATCAAAACAAGGGGCCAACTCATCATTCGCTCAAGAGACCAGGGAAACTGGACAAAAAAAAAACTGATCGAGATGGGGTCATCAGCCTCGGAATTATAGTACAATACTTGTTACAGATAGATTAAGATATTGTACAGTAGATAAATTTTTTTATTAAGAGAGGAAATAAAAAGGTAGAGAAAAAGAGAGAAAAGAGGTAGAGAGAGTAAGAAAAAAAAATTTAAAAAAATAAGTCACCTGCTGTAAAAGTGGTGTCAGGATAGGTGAACTATGCCATCCCACATAAGCAGCCACACCAACAATACAGTCAAAAAATGTTCCCCTAAGTTGCTTGTCTTCCTTGTCATTCAGAAATGTTATCATATGAGACAGCAATACATCATTCGCTGCAAAAGATTATTTCAATAAAACTTCTAAATACAATCTGATTGGGAAAACAAATCCACAAACAATAAAATGAGTCAAAAAATTAATATTCAGCAACATTTATGGTATGTTCAGGCCAGTAGATCCTCCACCCAACTTTTTACCTAAACAAAAATATTTAAAAAAAACTACAGAGGTATCAGTCATTGATTTGCCCCATTGCTTTTGAACTGTAACATAAATCAGTTTTGAAAAAAACTACAGAATCATAGAAATAAACAGCAAAGGTAAAAGTATGATACCAAGCTCAAGTAAGAGAGGATTGTTTCAAGTCATGTGGACCCAGGGCTCCTCAAACTATTGTTTAGCCCCTCAAACAACAGTTAGAAATAGGAGTTGCAAAAAACGCTCAAATTTATTGACTAAAAAGAAAAGTAATGAAAAATTTCATATGTATACATTATAAATAGATTGATTTAAAAATGATTATTATATGAATCTTGTTGTATATCTTGCAAAATCAATTACTTCTCAACATGGGCTAGAGTACCAGCTGTTAATGCCTCAAAATGTCAGTTCAGTGCATGTGGTTGGAGGTAATGGATAGTATTGACAAATAATTTTATAGTTCCAATGTCTCTAAAACAATTTGTAGGAAATTATATAAGAAACCATGTTAAAAAGCTGTTGAGAATTCATATGCAGGCATATGAATTCAAGCATAAGTCATCAAGAGGATGTAAATGGACAGGATGTAAATACCAAATTTCAACAAGTCTGCTTTTTACTTTTTCGCCTTTAAGAAGGTATATCTTAAGAAGATAAAGTTATGTAATGCTGCAGGGGAAAAAAAGGTGAATTTCAGCAGTGAAACTCTTTACTAACAGGCTCTGGTAATGATAAAGTGGATAAATCCAGTTACTAAATTAAAAAAACTCCTTTTAACACATGATGTACCCAGAATCCATGTTTTGTGGATCCTCGATACCAAAAAATCGAGTGACAGCAAAACGTCCATCTGAGAACAACACTAGCGATTAAATCATTCAGGTGATTTTCTCCAAAATTGATATTTCCCAATTCATCTGGCTGATGTTGAGGCACCTTGAAATTGAAATCAATATTTTAATTTTGGAAGATACTTTACCTAAATCCCCTGGGACGTTTTCAAAATTTAAAAAAAATGGTTCCATCGTTTTTGATTAAATTTTGTTGTTGAATAGTGCAAAGGACATTCGAAAGAATGGCCTGATACATAGCAAAGAACTGTAAAGATAGTGGTGATGGACCTATTTTCAGTACACTCTACATTTTCAAAAATTGCAAAAAAAGTTCAGAATTGTAAATTTAAATTTCACGTGCTTTGTTTCAGACGTTGCCAGTGCGGAAAATAGCAACACAGAGGTTTCAATTTTCTTCAAATTATTGTTGGTCATGATGATTGTATGATGTAGATAATATTTTTATGAAAAAAAGTTGATTGAAGGAAGGTAATAAATTTTAACTTACAACTAACAAACACACTTCTACACTTTAAGAAGTTTTAATAGCTGATTATGGCGTTAAAAAATTGAAAGCTCACTTCAAATGCAATCAAGGTAGGCTTATGTGAAATTATTCTTGCTTTTCTGTACTATATTCTGTAAATACTGTAACATTTAAATTTGTTCATGTTTGTCTCATTCTTAAAGAAAGAAATGACTAGTCTCCCTGTCAATGGAAATAAATGCAGATAAACAAGGGGGGCAATTTGTTTGAATTAAGACTTTCTTAAGTTATATCCGAGATTAAGTATGGCAGAAATTACAATTTTAATATTATATCACTATTTTCAATCATGCAAGAATGTATGCACTGTTGTAGCACCTCTAATTTTACCTTATATCACACTTATAATTAAACTTGATACAGGCAAAATTGTTATCAAAGAATTATGCATAAAACAATATTTCTTGAAAAGGAAGTTTCAAAGTTAACCTTTCTTGCATTTTAGCCACATAAATACTACTCTGATATGCGAACATTCTCTAGTGGCAAGAATAATTCAGAGTTAAATGGCTCTAACAAGTCACCAATGTTAATGAAATATGTGAGAATTATTTCTATACAATACAACACTGTCATCAACAACTCAAATTACCCCCCTTCAGTTCCATTACCTCAGAAAAGAATCATCACACTTGTGCCAATGATAACATTACCTTTCTGCTTTCCAAAAAATACACAGAGTTTAGTTATCCCATTCTCCATTAATGTTTGCTTGACTAAATTTTGCTGGTCAGTCAGCAATGTTGAAACAGTCTGTTGAATCATTTCATGCAGTGTCTGTAATTCACTTTCATAACTGGGTCTGGGACCATCTCCGTGGGATGACATCAATATTTGGCTTTTCTCCAAAAATCTGTAGACATTAAGCATTACATAAATTAGGATCAACAAACACACTTCTAAACAAAAATTACACTTGCTTGACCTACATACTTTAAAGCAGTTTCAGCTAACTGAGCTATATTTTCTGCATATGCTGCCCGAACAATTACTGAGTCATCATGTGTTACCTGAAAAATGAACCATAATGTGAGCTTCAATGCAGTTTCCATTCAACGTTTATTTTCACAATTTGACCATTAAGGTAATAAGTAATGAAACTCAAAAAATTTTACTTTCTTGCTTACAGTTACAGAGAATGTCACAAAAACTTAATTATGAAATTTTGACAAAAATACATTTTTTGTCTCCCACCACGTGTGGTAATGTAGGGCATATTAGTAAAAGTGTGTGTCAGTAAGCGGTGGGGATAGATTGCATACAGTTCATGGCCTGTTTGTTAGGGTACTGCTCTGGCATACACCTGGTATTATTCTGAGAAGTCATGGAAAACTACAGATCAGAGCAGTTGGCCACAAGCACTCTTCTCTAGACAGCGGCTGAACTCAATCTAGCCATCAAGCTAGTGTCAAAAAGTCCAGCCGCAGTTTGGAGTTGGACACTAGGACCTCCCAGTCACGAGTATTGCAGTGACAATATTGATGCCAAGAGCAACCTACGCAGGTCACAGATCTGTAATATACATAACAAATAAAAGTATTGGGAACAGCTACTTTAATTCTGGCTCTCCTTGAAGTTAGTCAAGTAAGTCACTCCTGCTGGGTGACAACAGCAAACAGAATTTGTTGCATATAGATTTCAGGACATGGTTTTCAATGGAAAAATTCTGAAAAATTTAAAGCTTTTATAGAATATATTCATGGAGTATATTATCCAAGATGATTCAACATCAAAGTCAAGAATCCTTTAAATGAAGGCTCATTTTGTATTTTGTAATTATTGTATCCGAGTGAGTGTGATGATGTTTTACCAACTATAAACTGCCCAGCTTTGTATGCTGTTAGTGAAATGATAATTCAGACACCTTTAAGTTCATGTCATCTAAATAATTATTTATCTGAGAGGAGAAAATATTTTTTCACTAGATCTCTCTGTATGGCTGAGAAAAACACCTTTCGATCAAAATGCTTCTTCTCTTTAGCACATCTTGATAAGTCAGACATCGAACACAAGAGTCCATTGACTTTTGGTGACAACACAGATGATATTTAGAAGTTTAATTAAGCAACTTAATTAAGCAACTTAAGAATCATATTTGCTATGTTGTAATCAGACACAAGAAAAGTGTTACAAACAAGTGCCAGAAGCACCAAGAAAAGAACACACACTTGAAAAGAGAGAAGGATATGTTAGAAGATAAGTAATAAGAATGAAGTCAATGTCAAGAAACAAACCTGAAGAAATGCAAGATTTGGAATAAATTGCTGTATTAGAGGTTATTTGACAATGGTAAATTTGTTAACATATTTTGATATACACAAAAATGTATTTTGATATTCAGTAGAACATCTTTGTCAAGTAAATGCGTGATTATTTTTATTGTATTTAATATATGTTAAAATTAAGGATTATCTGGGATGATTTCTAAGAGAATTTTATTAAAATTGTAGAGCAAATTACGATTCATCAAGCTCAATGCTATACGAACTGAAAAACAATGGCAGTTTTGAAATTCTCCAGCAAAAATGCATTGTTTTATATTTCCTCATTGGAAAAAATTGATTTTCGAGTCTTCCAGTGACACATCTGACCTCCGTGCCCAAACTAGGCCCTATGTTACAGAGTAAAGGGTACTGATTTGAACCCATGTAATACTCACTGCTGCTAGTCCAGGTAAAACATATTCAGGAAAAACATTTGCATCACTACACGGAACAGCTTTCACTAATGCCAGACATTTTGTAAGAGTTTCAATCGCACGAACACGAACACGAGGAAATGAATCGTGGACAAAATGAAACTGAAACAGAAATTGGCCAATTAGGGTACATTATGTAGAAGTTACTAATAGCAATAGTCTAAGAATTATTTCATGAAGAATGTTCAAATACTTCAATAAAGTACCTTCTAGAGCTATTACATAAATAATGATAGATTCCTAAAACTATTTACTACACTAACTTACAATGTATGGTAAAATTCTATCTAATATTGTTTCAGAAGAAACATGAGAAGACAGCTCCAATAATATATCAAGACTTTGCAACTTCGATGTGCAATGATGTAAACCTCTGAAAAGAGAATTAAAACATTTTAAATTTGCCCAGTAAGATTGAATAACCACACTTAAAATTATCTAAAATGCAAAAATATTTTCAATCACACATGATATAAATTTACTCACTAACAATTTATATTATACAAACCTTACCTAATACAAGAAGTAACAAGAGAAGTAATAATCACAAGGCCATCCGAGCTAGAATTACTACTTTCTGAATCATTTTTTTCTTCCTCATTTTTGTCATAACTTTCTTTGTTCACTTCACTGCCAGGTTTAAGTATATTTACAACGTTTCCTATATCTTTCTTTAACCTTTAAAGAAAAAAGAAAAAGAGAAATTACAGAGGAAGGAAAGAAAGTGATACTCCTTTTCCAGCAAAAAATATTCTATCTTGTGAGGTAGGACCAACTGTTATTCTCAAATAATATGTACATTAAGCAATTAAAAAGGATGTTCCTAAAATAAATTGGGACAGACACCAACCACGTTCATTTGAAGTCATGAGAGTGAAAAGAGTTGCTATTCAAAATTTCAGTTAATTCAATTAAATACAAATATCACGTAGTCATGATTTAACATTGGCAATATAATTTATTCATAAAACAAAGAATTCTAAAATTATACTTTCACATTCAAGAACAACTATTTGACCAACAATATGTTACCTGGCAATTTTCTCATCAGGAGATACAATAGGAACTGCAGAAAAGATTAGCATATAAGACTGAAGGAAGGAATAAAAGTATTCCGGAAACACAACTCCTCTTTGCTGTGCTAAGTACAATTCCGCTGATAATCGCTTTGTAGGATCTTTTTGAATCATGCTTTTGAAGAGTGCCTAGACAAATTGAAATATTTTTATTGATTTTTTTCTCACGTATAAATATGTCAAAATATACAGCAAAACATACCATATTTTCAAGAAGGCAGAAATATTTTAATTTATAATTAACACTTGGGAAAGCAAGTTCACTTACTCGCATTTCAGGGTCCTCCACTTTTTCAAGGTGTTTCAATACGTTTCTTGAGGCCGACTCTTCATTTCGGTATGCCAATAATTCAGAAAAGTCAAATGGTGGATGACCCTCATTGAAAAGTTCAAGTAATGCACAACTGTAAGAAATTTTCAGCCCTCTATGAGTTTTAAAGGCAAAATGAGCAAATTGTATACAACAAAAAAAAAAAAACGCTTTCAATATTATACAACTATTTCGTAAAATACAAATAAAATCAGAATGCAATATGATATGAACTGTAAAAAAAAATAGAAAAAATGTGAGTTGCAAATTTCTTGCATCTTGCTAAAAGTTTTACTGTAATAAATGTGAGTAAAATGACATCACATATTTGAGTATTGTGAGTAGTGATTCTTCTTTCAGCAGGTTTTCCACAAAATGTCATCACTACTTTTTTTTTTAAGAGATGTTTAAAAGATTTGTAGAGTACGCAATTCATGGGTAACCCTATGGAGAGAATCTTCACTATTGCACAAAGTTATGAATTGGTTATCGTTGACCGAGATAATTTTTCATTGTCTTGAATCTTGTATTGTGCTCAACTAAAATAATAATCACAAAATTTTAAAATATGATTCCTAAAATTTCTTAACACAATTTAGTCCCTAAAAGAAATATTAACTGAAGCATTCACTCAAAGGCAAAAACAAAAAAAGGAGATAGAAAAACGAGTGATAATTGTAGAGGCATACCTCTATGAACACTGCTTATAAAAAATAGGCACAAATAATCGCTCAGAGATTAAAATTCTGAATGGACACTACTGCTAGAAGAATGAATAAGATTCAGAATGGAAGAAGCTGCTATCAATTCTCAAATTCAAATTTTTGACGATATATCACAAATAGTTTATATTAAGGATCATTAAAATCATAAAATTGCATTACTACTCACAGAACAGAATTATTCTTGCATTACAACATATAGGTATTCAATATCTACATTTAATTTTTTTAAATCACCAAAAATATTGAAAGAGTAGTTCAGAAGTATATTATAACAGGTGAACCATTGAAAATTACAAATTCATTTTCTTGTCTAACTAAACTGACGAGTTTTGATAATCTTTAAACACAAACTTGTTTTCATCCCTGAAAGATCAACATCTACCAATTTACTCCAGTTGTCAGATGTATGGTCTAAAGTATTGGATCAGAAACAAAATGTTAACATTATCTCGATTATGCTATAGCTTTCAATGAGGTCCCACCTAAAGTCTTTATTTTCAAACTTTTAACCTTGGGCATACAAGGAAAACTACTGATGTGAATTAAGAAATATTTATTGGAAACAATATTCCAGGTAGCGATAGGAAACAGTCTCTCAAGACCCTGAACTCTTACAAGTGGTATACCTCAAGTTTCTGCTCTAGGCCCAATATTATTTATCCTATATACCTGTAATCTTGGTTATGATCTGTCTTGTGATTGGAACTGCAATGCTAACAACACAAACTTATTCTTGTATCTACTAAAGAATCGCCACATACTGCAAAATATCTTGACAAAGTGGCAAGATGGTATGAATCTTGATTAATTCTCTTAAATTCCATTAAGTATACTGTCCTCCACCTTGGAAAGCATGACCCAAATCTCTTTAGTATAGTTGGAAAGCACAGACTTGGTTCCAAGATAGAACAAAATGAACTCAGAGTTATCACAACAAAATCTGTAATGGGATGACTTGGTTGCTGCCAATATCAACAGAGCCAATTAACTAGTAAACCTGATCATTCCCTACACTGTGCACCTCTTGTGATACAACTGATCAAAACAGCATACATAAAGCCCAATCTTGAATAGGCTAATGTAGTTTGGACTCTCTACTATCAAAAAGATAAACATACATATTGAAAAAGAGCAAAGGCAAACAATCAAAATCCCTTCAAATTCCTCCCCCAGGGAACTACATCAATTTGAATATGAAGGAAGACGCTGAGAAATGACACTTTGGACATTCAAACACAGAAGAATCAGAGGTGATACTACAGAAACTTCTACAAATTTTGAACGAATATTATAACATTCCTTAATTTAACAATTGTTTTACAAGAGCCACAAAACCTAAGCTTAGAGGACATATGATGAAGAAAGAAAAGGCAAGGATAGGACAATGTTTTCACTTTATTGTAAAGCAGGTTGTAAATTCATGGAATGAATGCACATCCAGCAGACTTCATTCAAAAGGAAAAACTCAAAGCCTTTAAGAATAGCCTAGATAGTAATAATTTTGTGATTAACTAAACAATATTACATTTACATATATGTGTGTGTGTGTGTGTATGTGTATGCATGCAGGTGTGTATGCATATGTACTCATCCACACTCAGATCTATAATTGTGATTCAAATTATAAAATTGTCACTGTACCGAACTGAATTATTGTATAACTTGTTACTCAGTTGTCAGATGTGTATAATAGCTTGTTGCTGCCATCATTATTAAATAAATAAATAAATGGAACAGTTAGCAGGAAAGAAGTCATGCTCCTTCCTCTCTAGCTCGGTCTTTAACCACAAATTTCCACTATAAACTAATAAACTACCAATAAAGTGCAATTGTTGAAATAGTTTAATAACTGAACATAAATATTTTGCCTATACATAATATCCATTACTCACCCTGCTGAAAAAATATCCATTGCTGGAGTTAAATCACCTTTCTTTAAAGAATCCTCAGGCAGAAGTAAAGTGCTTGAAACCTCTGAATTTAATGTTTTAATAAACCTTTGAAAAGACAATATACGTTGTGTAACAAGTTACATGAACATTCCATTATCATGGCACAAGTGATATTTCAAATTTACCTCTCTGGGGCAATGTAACAAGTACGTCTCCTAGATGTATCAAAAAAATACGAGAAATCGGCAGGATTATCTTCAGGTAAGTATGTTGGTTTAAAAGAAGCGAAGTCAGCCAGAAGAATCCAATTCCATGATGTGATCATGATGTTTTCCAATTTTATATCACCATGGCATACCTATAATGCATGATGTACACTTGCACAAAATAATTTCTGTTTTTAAAGCAGTGCAGAAACTTAAGGTCATGTTCATCACACCATTTCCCAGAGAAAACATACTTCGTAACTTATGAATAAGGATTCTAAGACAACATGGGCATTACATAACTCCGACAATCTTTATAAAAAAATCGCTACAAATGCTTCTACAATAATATAATTAAGATTTACTTGAATATTAAAGAATTTCTACTAAAATTAAAAGTACTATTAGCACATAGCATTGTAACTTCTTGCTCAATTTAATCTTTGGTATTTAAACTTCAAAAGACTGAAATTAAAATAATACTCACACCAACTTTATGGCATTGATGTAGAGCATACAAGACTTGGAATGCAATCCATTTCTTCTCAATAGTGGTGAGAAAGGGACGAGTGCTAATGCGATCATAAAGACTGAATTTCACATATTCCCTCATAATAAAACCTGCTTTATCTGTTAGCTGGAACACCAAAGAAATATTTATTTTTTGTTTGTAATTTATTAATCACATAAAAAAGCTGTTATAACATACCAGTACTCTTTGAAATGGTAAGCAATTAACTGCAGATTGCAATTCATTGCGAATTTCTTCCAACCTTTCTTTGTAAGTTGATAAGGGCAATGTAGGGTCATGAATGGCAAACACTTTTACCACGATTAATCCTTCTGAGGATCGTGCTCTTGCAACTTTAAAGAATCGTGTACTCCCCAAGCTTTGAAAAAGAAATAACTCTGAGATTAGCTAAGAAATAATTTTCTTATAATTGGAGTAAAGTTATCACTACCATTTTCCTAAAATTACAATAATGTTATAACACAAAAACACACATTCTAGCCCCTTACTTGAAAATAAAAATTAGCTAGCAACTTACTTGACATCAAACTGTAAATCCGCATGTTCAGTCAGGTAATGTTCAACGGGAAATATTTGAGATGGGGCTATCCCAACTAACTGATTTCCCATTTTCACTTAAATAAATTGATTCTCTTATTCGCAATAACTCTTCACATCAACCATTGCTTGAATCTTGATGCAGATCCAATAAACCGCAATAAACAAACTAGTCACTTGCGGAAAATTCTCCAACCTGTTCAAAACCAACATTTACAATGATACAGCACAACAAACAATAACATTGTCGAAAATATTTTTCCGACTTGTGTTTCAGTTTGGAACTGATTTGGTGCTTTGTTGTGCAAGTGACCACAAGTGACAGATAAACTATCGCTGAACACAGCTGAGCAGCAGCTGAGCCGTACCTATACTCCCTGCACGTTCTCTTGAAGCATGTACTTACCTACACTCTATAGTATGGTCCCGGTCAGGTCTCGGTCACCGGTTGATCATCTGTTTTACAGGTTCCCCCTGGTTCTGCCATAAGATAGAGATACAGTCTTAAAAAAGGAAATATCATAGAACACATTCCTTGGAAATATTGATAAAATTATATTGCTGTACGGGCGCATTGTACAGAAAATACGGGTATTATACGTCAGTGTAAGAAATATATCTTACACCGTGTGGAATATACACTATAAAAACAATCAATGAACGACTTTGCGAATCAGCATTTCAAGGGATGCGTCCGAATCCCGGTACAAGCGCGCAGATTCAAAATTTAATATTTTTCATTTAATGAAAATATGACAGTGTACTGAGTTATATATATATATATATATATATATATATATATAGTGTGTGTGTGTGTGTAAGCTGTTTATATATATCTACATATGTGTGTACTGTAAGAACAAGTCTAAAATGGGGACGCTAACATATTTTAACATATAACAAACTAAATTATCAGTAAAAACAGTTTGAAAAATATTTCGATGTTAAGCAGAACACAGACTATTAACAGTAATGTTTTTTGTGTTTACAAAAATATTGACTTCGACGCAAAAGTACCTTTTCGTGAAAATGTCAATGTTTCCGTTTTGGACAACCGGTTGGCTAAAATGCAGTACTCACATTGAAATGATTAAATATTGAATGTATTAATTACAAAATATTTAGAAAGTAAATAATTAGATTAAGTAAACTACGGCAAGTACGAAACATAAGAATAATCTGGAGGATTACTTTTAATAAGCGCACTAATAATGGAGGATTACTCCAAACGCAAAACAGCTCAATATCCCCCAAAGGGTTTTGGAGACGCGCTGCGTCTATGTAGACGGAACAATTTAAAAAAAAAAAACCTAGGAGAATCAATGCTTAATCACCAAACGTGAACAACAAAAAGTAACTTGTTAAGACCCAATACACTAGGTAGATGAAATCGTAGCGATTTTCAATAAAAACATTGAAATTTTCATAAAATAATTACACGCACACGCATCCATAACTTCTCCCAAACTTTTTGTCAGGCCTTCTTCTAGTGTACTCAAAAATGACGGATGCTAGTTCAAATGAGGAAATATTTCCAAATAAAAATACATAAAATGAAACACTTTTATGAACATGAAAGTAAGTATATTGAAATATGTACAAGGATATATAAATTTAACCACTGTTACCATAATTCTTTTTGAAGAAATTTGGTTGATATTGAGTTGATATGAGAAAATAAAACTCATTTTAGAGCATTTAGATTATCACACACGTTTTCTTTCAATATTATTGTTCATCAATTATCCACCACCTTTATCAAATATCCAGTTTACTATAGATTTATCGATAAGAAAACTATTATAATTGCAAGTTAGCAATTGTTCATATGTTTATTAAATTTGCAAATATTGCAAAACCGTGTATTTTTTGAATTGATAGATGACTTCTAGAGAACCATTTAAAACAAAAACAGCAAAATTCAAAGTTCAAGTTCATTTTAATTTCTACACGCTGTTTCTGAAACTGGAATGGAAATTAAAACTGGATGAACAAGAACGACCATTTACAAGGTCATTTCGTAAAGTATAATAATGATGATGATAATAATAATAATAATAATAATTATTATTATTATTATTATTATTATTATTATTATTATTATTATTATTATTGTATTTTTGTAATTTTATTAACTTCTTTAGTTTAGGGTCTAGATGAGTCAGAAACTTATCATCTGGTTCCCGTACAATTCATATAATATGCAAACAATTTTGTCATGTAAAACATTTTAACTGCAAATTAATACAATTATACAATAATTAATAATATTTTACATATTTTATATTTGTACCTAATGATTGAACTTAACATAGTTATTTGTATATGATGCAAATTAATATATAGTAGCATCACATTTTGAAATAACAGTATATCGTATTAGTTTGGTACACACCTTATAAACATTCTTAATTTCACAGAAAATATTCTATTGTTACTCAATTTTGTTTATGAATTTCAATCTAGTCTCTTCCCTTTATTGACAAAAGTGTCCTATACACTGTTGTTGGTTGTCACACCGCAGGTTTGTTTATTTGCAGCCATGATTTCATTTTGTTGTTAAAGTCTTTGTGGTTGGTTTTTGGGTATTTAATGTCTTTGGGTATCTGGTTGTATAGTTTAGGTATCAGGTAGATAGGTATAATAATAATAACAATAACAATAATAACAATAATAATGACAATAATAATAATAATAATAATAATAATAATAATAATAATAATAATAATAATAATAATAATATTTATTTACATATACAATTACAATAGTGTTTGACAAGTCAAATATGATAGATTTAGAGGGAGTACAATCGCATACATCTCCTTGGGAGCAGCGAGTGAAGTTAAATTTCTTTTTATTGTTCAGAAGCAAAACAAGGGACCATCTCAGCATTTGCTCAAAGGCCTAGGGAAACGGGGCAAAAAACATTATCAAGATGGGGTCATTGGCCTAGAGATTATACTACAATACTTGTTACAGATATATTAAAATATTACATAGTAGATAATCATTTTTAGTAGAAAATAGTTGAACATTTGACTTACTATAATTTTACTATATTACTATAATTTAAAATTCTTCAACATTTCAAGATTTGTACCGTTTCATTTTTCAAAATATAATTTCTTGGTATAGTGATTTTTCTGCTATAATAATAATAATAATAATAATAATAATAATAATAATAATAATAATAATAATAATAATAATTCATACTTCTCGTGTGTGTCGGGGATTTAGTAGAAGTTAGACCACGGGATCGCATGTCGTAGAAGGGATAATCGGAGCGCTGTTCCGCTGTATCCCCTAAACATCACTCTTCCAAGCTCTGTGTTATGTGCTGTCCACTTACTTGTACACATCGTTTTCTGTATGTGGCATCTTGTATGGCCACTCTTGTGTTCGCCCGCGCCTATTAGGTTGCGGAGGGCTACGGGTGTTCCATTCTACCCTTCTATTCTAATCGTAATCTTCTCGTCGCCCCTTGTTCCTTCATGTTCCTGTAAGCTGGTGTGTAGCTTCAAAAACGCTAGGGAAGGTGAACCCTAGAAGAAAAAACCAAGAAGGAGGACTTGTCAGTATCGACAGTTAGTGCAGGGGAGTCGGAGCGCAGTACCGGGGTCGGTGTGCAACAGGCACCTGGGCGTCGTCACCCACGACTGCAATGCAGGGTGCGGATACTCGCACACTGGATGTAGTGCTACCGATGTATAGCAAGCTCGCGGTCTCGTATGGAAAGATCTGCGAACCTTGGTTGAGGGAATGATCAAATCAAAAAATGCAAAATATCAATAAATTTAGTACAGAACGCAAAAAACATTGTTTCTCATTTACAGCAAGCCAACAAGAAATGTGTTTATTCAGTCGGAAAAGAAAAAGTTATAGAGATCCACAGAGCTGGCGCTGAATGGTGTTCAACTGCATACATGGAAACCGCCAATTCCTGGGTTGATTTTGATAGGTATTTAACAGGAAAAGCATATAGAATAACCTTGCGTGAGCAAACGGTCTGAAGTATAAATGCAGTTTCCCATATAATATTGGGAGCAGATAGAGACATCTAACTGGCCTGTACAAATCCATGTATGTCCAAAATAGATATGGATGGCGATGTACTCTCAGCCAGAGAAATCCAGTTAGGAAACTAGACCCGTTCACAATGCAGGCTCCGATATGCATTGCGCGTTCCGCACTACTTCCCAACTCTACGGTGAAAAGCACCTGTCGCTACATCACAGACG